CTTGTCCAGCCCCGGCCCTTGGTGGCCGTGCCGTGCTCTGGCTGTCCGCACGGTCCGGTCCTGCCCTGCCCCTGCCCCTGCCCCTGCCCCGACTCCCGGTGGGCTCCCAGCCCGGGCGCCTGGCAGCAGCTCGTCCCTGTCCCGTGTCCTGGGCACCTGCAGCCATCCCTACCCCTGCTCTTCGCCCTACGTCAGCTGCTCCGCTCCAGCCAGGCCTGGGAGCCGGGGTCAGAGTCTCCGTGCCATGCGAGGTGCTGGCTGCACGGGAGCACGACCCCGGCCTCTGCCCAGGGCACGATAGCCGCACACCCCAGGCTGCTCCCTGTTAGGGTCCCCACCAGGATTTCCCGCTGCCCAGGTCTTGTGCCCCTCGGACCTGCCCCGTGCAGGGAAGGGGGTTATCACTGCTCCGGGTTCAGCCCAGTGGGTCTGAGTCTGCCCCGATCCCCTGCCAGGACAGGGCCCAGCCAGGGGACCTCATGGCCCGGACTGCAGTGGGGGGTAGGGGATGGGTCACCAGGCTGGGGTCAGGGGCTCCCTGCTTGGCCCCTGGAGAAGGGGCAGAGCCGGAGGCCCCAAGGGGCAGGGGCAGGGGCAGGGGCAGCGGCAGAGTTCAGCCGCAGGCAGCCTGGGCGAGGACATTTTCCTCTCTCCCCAGGGCTGGCAGGGAAGGGGCAGTGACATGTGGGCACCGCTGGGCCCAGCCGCCCGGGGATGCCCCTGAGGGAGGAGGGCGGCTGCGGCGTTCCCGGATTCCCCCTCCCAGCCCCGTGCTGAAAGGCCCTCTGATTCCCAGCTGGCAGCGCCGGCCGCCCCCGCGCCTGGCCCCGGGCCCGTGAGGAGGTGGCCGGCCCAGCGCGCAGCCGGCCATTCACGGGGCTGCCGGCGCATCCATGCGGTTTTCTCGGCCGTTGGCAGTCGCAGGAGCCGGCAGCTCTCCCCACCACCCCACCGCCTGTTTGCTCAGGCAGGGCTGGCCTGTCCTCTGAGCTGCGCCGGTCTCTGAGTCCCATTCATGCCCGTGGGGGCCGGCACGTCCCATGTGCGGTGGGGCGGGTCAAGCATCCCCTCCGGGGCAGGGACCCGTGCTTGCTCCAGCCCTGGCACAGGGCAAGCCGTGTCCCTGGTTGCAGCAGGCTGTGTGGAAGACACATCAGCACCCACCCTCCCACAGCGGATGCCTGGCTGGCTGCCCGGTGGGTGCTGGAGCAGGCTGTGTGCAACCACGCAGGTGTGGGACCCTCCTCCGGTGCCGTGTGGCTCTTGCCCTCCCTGACAGCTCATCTGGTGCCTGCCTTGGCACCAACTAGACCTGGGCCAGGGCTGTCCTGGAAATGCCTGCGCCTGGCTGCTTCCAGCCTCTCCGGGCCTCTGGGAGCACGGCTGAGCCTGGCAAGGAGCAGCCAGCCTGGCCCCAGGGGACATCGCTGTTCCCTGCCAGCTGGCCTGCCAGGCCTCTTGGCTGGGGCGGTGCTGCTGGTGCAACGGGGTCCTTGTCCTCAGACCCGCTGCTGGGGCCCAGGGCCCTCTTCCCCAGGCGAGGCCGGGCAGAGGGCACGGGGTGCAGTCCAGTCCTGCCACCAGCTCTGCTGCGCTGCCCATCCTGCCACGCCACCTTTGGAGGGGCAGGAGGGCGGCTCTGCCACAGCACCAGACTCGGGGGCTGAAGCTGCAGAGCAGGAGCCAAGGTGGGAGGAGGGACCAGGAGTGGGCTGAGAGGCAGCGGGGGCCTGTGGGAGATGCAGGCTCCTTGCACCAGGCTGACCCGCCACCTCCTCAGCTGTGGTTGCTGTGTCCGCGGCGAGGGAGGCCTGGCCCAGGGGAGCATTTGGTATCCGCGGGCTGGGGAGAGCGAGAGCACGGCTGGCCAAGAACCGCGGGGTGGGAAGGAGCCGGCCCAGGGCCACAGGGCTTTGTTGCCACTAGGATTCCTTTTACAGAGACCCCCGAGGATTGACACGGCCCCTTGTCCGATTTGGTATCAAGTGAACTTTAATAGTAGTCCCTAATCTTTATTACAAGTTTTTGCTCCATAATACGACCTGGCAAGCGGTTCTTTAGGCGTTACAACAGCGACCTTTGGTGGTACCGGCCTCAGATTATTTTACACACACACACACACACACACACACACACACACACACACACCCCCCTCTACCATCCTCTGCTGGGCATGTGGGATGTTAGTGTCTGGATTCCTCATTATTCGAACGAAAATCCCAAGGTTGCTCCTGTCTCCCCAGGGTGGCAACACAAAACACAGCTGTTCCTTTGTTTGTCTACTACTTCTGTAACTTTCTTGCCTCAAACTGTCCAGTCCTCAACTTTCTTACCCCATCCTTTTAGACAAGGTACTCCAATCCTATTCCGTTTTTGGGTTTCTTTTCTTCTAGGGAAACTGCTGCACCTGGTTAGCCCACCGTACCACTTGCAGCACTCACTTTTCCCAGTGCCTTATAAGGCACTCTGTACAATTTAATTGCTTAGCTTCAGGAAGGCCTGAACTAGGGTCAAGAGCCTTAGCTTAATTCAGTTTGCCCACTCCACGGCCCTTGGACGGAGCTGAGCTGGGCCCTGGCTGTCACCCTCCCGGGCTGCCCTGCCCCTGCCCCTGCCCCTGCCCCTGTTCAGAGCTGGGGCCGTGAGGGCACCTGGCGTGCGGCCATGAAGGCAGCTGTGCGGCCATCTGCCCAGCGCACGTCGCGCCTCCTCCTGCGGTTGCGCTGGCAGGGGCATGTAGTCCCGGGTTGGCCCCTCGCCCTGGTTCTGCAGTGCTGGGGCCAGTGATAATTGCCCAGCCTGACATGCGTGCAGACAGACACGCATGCACATATGTCATGAGCCCGCGAGCGCCTTGCCCAGAGCTCTCTGCAGCCGGGCTGCGTGAGACCGTGCGTTAGCAAGGGGCCGCGTGATCCCGGCTGTGGGAGTCCCCCTGCCCAGGACAGCTGCCAGGCTGGTGCCTCCTGGCTGGATGTGCAGTGTGGAGCCAGGTCTGACGTGGCTGCACCCAGGCCCGGCCTCCAGGCCCTGGCCAGGTTTGGCCGGTGGCTGCTGGAGCCGTTTCCAGGCTGTTACATAAGCTCGGCAGATGGCTTTTCTCAGCCCATGAGGCAGGTTTTCCAGGGCTGCTGCCACTCCCAGTCGTGGCTTTCCAGGGCTGCGACTGCCAACCTCCCCCCGGGAGCATCACGGGGCCAGCCATGGTGGCCAGCAGTGCTGCCGGGACCCTGCCACGTACAGAGACAGTGCCGCTGCCCATGCCGCGGCCTCCCCTCTGCTCCCCTCCCACCCCACGGTGCAGGGCTGGCCGGTGGTGACCCCTGTGCCCTGGGATGCACCCTTGTCCTGTGCCCGGGGCCCTCGGGCTCCCTCCCTGACCTGCACCTTGCGTGGGGCCGTCTGTGCCCAGCCCCAGCCCTGCATCCCTATCACTCCCCCGTCCCTGCAGCGACTGCTTCTCCCCGCACCTTGCTACAGGGCTAGCCCAGAGCAGGTCCCTGCCGACCGGCCAGCAGCACCGCGGTGCCGGCTCTCTGGTGCGGCCGCTCGGGGGCTGGCAGCTGACAGGCGTCAGACGCGGGCAGCGTGGGCCGTGCCACTTCTGCATGGTGCCATGGCCTCGCATGGCGCTTGGCCAGGCCTGGACCTTGCTCCTTTCCCTGGGTCCCATCTGTCCCTGCCGCGGGGCACGGCCAGGGCACCCCGGGGTGGGAGAGGGCGCTGAGCCCCCTCTGCTGTGCCTAGCCCCAGGTGAGGGTCCCAGGAGCCCCCCCGAATCCGGATGCCGGCCCCACCTCAGCTGCCCCTCTCTTTCCAGGCCAGCAGCAGTCATGAGGAGCAGCGTTGGCGTCGCCAGGGCCCGG